CGTGGCCTTCTAGGGGATGGTATGCTGAGGGGACAGGAAGCCCGGTTCAAGATCCACGAACACACGGACTCTTCAACCTCAAACCACAGTAGCCACAAACTCCACGCCCGCAAACAAACCCCAAACCTAAGTAATCCCTGAACCAGAAGCCGCCAAACTCTAACCGAAAATCACCCAACAAGTCATGAAACCCCCAACAAAATGAGAAGCCAGAAGGTTGGAAGCTTAGTATCGCTTACCCCAACAACCCTAGTACAAAAAGACAATGCAGCGGAAAAATCAGCAGAATGCCTCACATGTGGGGCATCTACCAAAAACCCTTTCAACCCCTGAATCTAGTATAGAGGCCTTAGTACTTGAAGTGGCGATTGAACGGGGTCCTGAACTATGATTATAGGAACGAAACACTAAACTCTAAACCCTAAACCTAAACCCCTAAACCCCAAACCGTTTAGGGTTCCCCTAAACCCCTAAAGCCCTAAACCCGGCCAGCCAGGAGCGCCTGCAACGGACCTGCACGGTTGCACACGTCTGCTTCAGAGGTAGGGTAAAAACGCTATACCCTTAAACCCTAAACCAGAAACCAACAGGCTCCGAAACGGGTTTCAAGGCTGCTTGGAAGAAATTGAAGGGATTGAAGCGGGAGTTTACAAGCACGTATTGCAGCGGCTTTTAAAGGTGAAGCGGGCCTTAACACCATTTCAACAGGGGCTAACAGAATCTCTAGATTCCCGAAAGGATCAAACAGGACACCCATGGGAGAAAGGACCGCCCCATGAGGGTGAGGTTAACATTGTCCGCAACGCATCGCAACCTTCTTGCTGCGAGCCCGAAACCGAACTGAACAGCCCAAGAAGGGGCTTCTGGGGCGAAGCACGGCTCTGCCAAAGACATTGGCTGCAAGCTGAACCCAAACCTCTAAATCCTAAACCCTGATTTTGCTGGACAGTTCCGAACCTCCTAGCCCAAAACCTTATCCCGAACCTTTACACCCAGCCCCTCTAAACATGAAGCGAACCATCCACTGTCTCGACACCAAGGCAGAGGCCTGTGGCTCTGGACGCCCGTGTGCGATGATCGGGGGCCGCACCATCCATGTAGCTGCAGGCTGAGATCTAATTCATCTTCTCAGTGCGTTCATACATACTACGATCCTGGACTTAAGCTCAAAAACAATGCCCAGAATGGCGATGACGCCTGATCCGACGAGAACTCATAAAGCCCTTAACCACAAATTCTGAACCACTGAACGTTTTTACACCTGGGCTATGCATTTGAACCGCTGAACTCGAAACCCAAACCCCAAACCGCTAAGCCCTCAACAATCATAGTAGAGTTCACATGTGTAAAAAACATATATATACATATATATATATATGTATAGACTTGTGCATCTATAAATAAATAATATATATATATATATATAAATATAAATATAAATATATATATATATATATGTGTGTGTGTGTGTGTGCATGTGTTCATCCAAGGAAAATAGTTCGCAAGCAAACAAGCAAATACATTACATATAATTACTTAGATGTATATCTGTGTAAGTGTATGTATGTATGTATGTATGTATGTACGTAGGTATGTATGTATGAGCCCTGTGGGGTTGGTGTAGGAATGGGCTGAGGGACTTAGGGAGTAGGATGCTCAGGCAACCCTGCACCTAAGGATTTCAATTGTTTCGCATCCTTTCTTTTGAATTTGGGAAGGGGCAGGGTGGCGTGGAGGTTCAAGGTGGGTGTGAGGTCTAGGGTGCAGGGCCTTGCGATAACGATTTTTTCGGGATGGCAGGGGAGTCCCTTCTTCTCTGAAAATCCCTTATCTCTTGACATCATATTGCGTAAACGGTACGTAATGCTTATGGCGCAGGCATCTCCTGTGCCAGTATTGCCTTACACCCGTAATCCTAACCCTGTCTTTCCCAATGCAACAAAAGCGCCCTTGCCCCTCCGCTTGAGGCAAGCAGCCTGAAGCATCAAGACTCAGGCCCTCTTTCGAAACGAACGCAACAGGACCGTTGAGGCCAAGGGGCCCAGGGCTGATCCAATGTGCCCACATCATGGCAAGGCAGGCCATTACAGTAGCACACTGTCTGGCGGGAACGGAACTTGAAAACATTGGAAATGGACACTTTTGTGCTGCACTGCTGCACGTGGCATGTTCGACTTCAGCTGGAACCGGTAGGAGTAAACGGGGGCATCTGGCGACACATTGCGGGTGTATTTATATATTTATATGTGTATATATATATATATAGAGTGCACCTACTTCAACATCCGAGTATGGCTGCAATTGCAGCTGTCATGTCACCTGGAGCTAGGAAAGACGAGTGTCCTGAATTGGGAGTGTCTGTCCAACGCATCTCAAGTTCAGGATGTTGCATCACTGTTGCATCCATATCTGGTAGATGAACCTTACTGTACCATGCACAATCACAGAGCGAGCACATGTTTGGACCAACAAATGCCGTGGGGGCACGGAGCCCGCGGATTGCAACCTCCGCACCGAACGACTTGACAAGCCCATTAAAAAAACACAACATATCACAACCCTGCACTTATCCGTTTTGAATTCTCTGTCGCTGCAGCATCTGAGCAACAGCGGCAATAGCGCGGGCAACCCATTGGCACTTCGGCTCATGAGTGTCTCAGGGTTCGGTCTTGGCTGGCGGCTCCACGTCAACCTGACAAATGTCGCCGACAAGACACACACAAGCACAAATAAACACATATCCTAAGTAAGGCGCTCGTCTCACGGCATCGCATACTTTAGCCACTGTGGGATCGAATTTTTGCTTGGTTGACAACATGGGACTTCCGAACATTGGTAGCTGCACTGCACCTTCTTCAAGTTGCCCAATGCAGAACAGCCTAGATGCAGCTGCTCTGTTTGCCTAACCAGCTCCACTCTTTTCAACCACGCAAGCTCTGTCAAGTGTCACGCGTTTTCGGACTGTTTAAGATGAAACACATCGAGTCTGCCTTGCGGAAAAAGCGTTTCTGGTCAGAGCTTACGTGAAAATTTGCGCTGGCTGGTGCCCTTGACCAGCGTGACGTCGAGATTTCCAGCATCTACAAAACAAGACCAGCTCCTCTCGATCCGCCCCCCCCCCAGCTTGTGCCGAAACTGCCGATGTTGCCCAGCCGCCTGCCCAGATTCAGTGGTGCTGCATTCCTACTCCAGCTGTATTGGACACACCATACCCTTCGCAGCTAGATGGCAACCCACCTTGTCCTCTGCAGTCGACAAACAGAACTGTACTTCGCAAAACGTGCCTTGAACTCTACGAGTAGAATCCGCCGGCACCCTTACGACGCTGGAATGTTGTGCAGCGCAAAGACGAAACGAAAGCATGTGTGTTCAGCATCTGTGTCTGTCATGTTGTGCTGTGTTATGTTGAGCTATATTACGGCATGCTACTTCACATTACATGATACGATGGCCATTCCGAGCCGCTCTGCGCTGGCCGGTATTCGCGAGAGCGGTGCATCTGGCTTCGGGAAGAACTTCCGATTCCGAGCGAGCTGAATGGGCTTGTGAAGCTGAGTGTTAATCGTGCCACAGCCGGTGCGTGTGGAAGTTTTTTACAGTTTACTGGCACGGATTGCATTTGGTACCGGTACTTGTTTCGATCATTTCGGGGCGGAGACCGCCATATGAGCTCTGACATAGCGAACCCTCCCACCCCCTCCTGCCCTGACTTGGACGAGTGACAAGCATCCGAAACCTTGAACACACTATTTTCGAAAGAAAGAACATGCTGCAAACCCGTGCACTTGCACTTTTTGCATGTTTCCATGCGCATGCCAGCTATTTCCCAAACTGCTCTTGTGATGTTGTTACTGATTCTGTTACCCTTAGTGTCTCAAGTGATCTTATATGGTACTCGTAATACGTCGGCATCAAAGATCTGCATTAAAGATTACCATGCTCCTATTTCGATGAAGTCTTGCGACACTCAACATGCCTCAGATTGCCTCGGCACATCATGAAGTTGCTCGCAACATGCCGACTACGCTTTGTGGGTTCTGGCCGGGTCCAACAGAAACTTGCGGGCTTGAAGTCTTCCCCAAGCTGCTCCGGTTGGGCCTCGTGGGTCTCTAGGAACGTCTTTTGCTAGGAGGGTCTCGTCGTTATTTGCGTTATTAAGTCACTGCCGTATCGTTAAGTCGTGTTGAGGCAAGTGACCATGTCTTGCGCGCAGGGTATGGTCCCGGAACTTTCATCTGCCAGGAGGCGTGCCTTTCCTTGATTGCTTGCTACAAACATCTGCGCCAGCCATACCAGCCTCAAAACCGCAAGAAACCACAAAGGAATTTATCATAATTTATCTTTGCGAACAGATGCAGAGAGACCGCAACACCGCAGCGCGAGGAGTGAGAGCGAAGCAAATGGATTCTCCCTTTGCCTACAGTAGACCCTGAACTCCGAAACCCTAAACCCCTCAAGCCCTTAGCCCGTACCCTCTAGCGTGCGACTGGCTCTCCAGTGGCCCTCAGCAGCGCCGGCGTGGAGTTGTACTCTCCACCCAAACGAAGGCATTGCCCCTGTTAGGATGGTTTGGGGGTTTCGGTGCTTTTGGATCTACGGACCATAAGCGACATAGATAGTTTGAGGTTTATGCAAGCAGTCGCTGCGGACGACTCGGGCGAGATATACCCAACGATTTGGACAACGGAACATCTGGTAAATTGAATGCCTAATTAGCATGCAGCGCACGCTTTCAGCGCATGTAAGCAGTAGCATAAAGGGGTTCAGGGTTTAGCGATTCCTGTTCACACGTTTAGGGGCTTATGACGAAGCTTGACTTTTCGAATGCTTGGGAAAGAAAGGGGGTTTAAGGAGTTTAGGACGGTTTCGACTCGCAGACTCGCTCAAGGCAGGCAAAGCGCCTCAGCTGGCTACAGTGACATGTGATATTTAGATTGAGTAGGCATCTTTTTTTTTGAGCACCTTTTCCACCATACCGTGCAGCTCAGCAGAATCCGCTTGCGGAAGGTACCTATCAGACCCCTTGCGAACTTGTAGCCACCAGCGATCACGATCGCTTTTCAGCCCTCCCTGAGCCTCGAGCCCTTCTGACTTGATGCGCTGGAAGAGCTTCACCCACACCGCCCCCTACTGCTGTTCGATGTGTGTATCCGTGACCTCACCCTGAAGCCAGGCCTTGTGGATTTTCCGTACCTTTTTTCGTGCCTGGGATGGGGTCAATCTCCATATCCAGCACCCGCGGCAGCACCGCCACGCTCATGTAGCGTCCAAGCCACACTTTCGCCACTGATGGAACAAGGAAAGCCATACCGGTCCAAACTCCGAGAGAATGCGCTCGTCCGATCTGTAACCGTCTTTCCATTGTCCACATAAAAATAGAAAAACCATAGCGGTACCTTACCAAGTTGCCTTCCGCGTCACGGCACGTTCCCTGTGGTGGTTCATGTGGTTCCGCATCCACAACTGTGCACACAACCTCCCCTCAAAGGTCAGAGCATTCGGCGTCCACTGCGTCCGAGACTGCCTCCTGCGCCAACATGAGGTCTGCAGCTTCTGAGCCGTACTGGTGTTGGACCTCTTGCTGGGTAAGTTCCCCCTTCCTCCATCGTCTGTACAGCTCCTGGTACTCGTCAAACTCCATAAGCTTCAGAAGATCGGCCTGATTCGGGTTGCATGCCTGGCCGCTGTCCATCACCACACTTTGGATGGGGCCAAGGCATGCCAAGGCCGTTGACCAAAGCTCGAAGCGAGAGCTCAACGTGGAGCAGAAGGAGAAGAACGAGCAGGAATGGTCGTAGATCTGGGGTGCACCCGGTTCGTCGGCCAGCTTCGCGGATGTGTCCGTGTGCAACTCTGCTCTGGGGATGCAGGTGCAATCCAAGGGCAAGGGCTTTTGCCAAAGGCAAAGGCAAGGGCTAGTGCTAGTGGAAGGGTGCCTGCCTCGGCCGAAGAGGTCATAGAGGAGGACGAGAGTGCCCCCGTCGGAAAAAAAAGCTGCAGCTGAATGCTAGCCCTCAAAGTCGGCGGCGAGCCTTTTGTAGGAACATTCAGCGCAATAGTGTGCGTAATTCTGGGCTTGTCGCTGCTTCCCCAGGCAGCCTCCACAGTAAGCACACATCTGCGTTTCGACAGATTGGCGAGCTTCCACATCTCGTTCCCAGGCCTTGAGCTCGAGAGCCTCCTATAGTGCGTCATGTTAGTCTGGGTGCGCAGCTCTGTCCCGGCCTGGCCAAGCGCCAAAATCGTTCGTTCGTTCGTTCTTCTTCTTCTTCATCCTGTAACTGTGGCAGCGCATCCACGTCCACATCCGCCGGAAGATTACATCCGGCACCTCTGTCCAGTGCCGGCGGAGTATCCACAGTTTCCGGTGGTTGCTCCAGTCGGTAGCCGGGGATGAAGGCCGCAAGTTCCCGTTCGCATCCTTCCAACCACTGGCGATCCATCTGCACCGCCCCCTGAAATTCTCCACCATCCTCCACGACTGCGACCAAAGGCTTGAAGCTGAGGTTGCCACACCCCAGCAGGTTCTCCCGGGGATGGCAGGGCGGCTCGTAGACATCCTCTTCCAGCTCCACCTCCATGTCACCAGTAACCGTTCCGGCGACAGTTCAGCCATGAGGCAACGGATGACTGTTCACAGAGCAGCTGTCATCACCACTCTTCGTGATAAGCACTGATTTCCCTGAGCATCGGCGGGGAGAAACGATAGGGATCCGGCCTTTTGAGTCCGGATGAGTGAAGGTCTGTCTGTCAAACAGCAGGAAGCGCCATAGGTCAGATGCTTCGGCACTGCTGCTGTGTCAGCCAGGGGCAACGGTGCCGTGTCTCGGCTTCCCGGTCCTTCTGCCTGGTGCTGCGGTCGTCCTTCAAGCCTGCGAATCTCCGTCGTCACGCAGACTGCCCGCCTTCTGCCGTCTCTGCGTTCTGGAGTTCCAATGCGTTCTGGAGTCCCAATTCTGCGCCTGCGCTTCCGGTAGCGATGCTGGACTCCTGCTGCGCCTGTGAAGTGCCGGAAGCCAGTTTCGCACCCTGGAGAACGTGGGAGATCATGGCAGGACGGTACCCCGAGTGGTCGCGGTGGTTGAAGTCCAGCTGGAAGACCAGGAATATGCCTATGTGCTTCCGTCTGAGTGATGGCAGCCAAGGTTGACAATTTGCTCGATTTAGTCCGAATCAGGTATGCTGGGAGGGGCTTGTGCCTGGAACAACGGCACCTTCCAACCAAAGCTCTCCAGTGACTGTCGTCGAAGATTCGTGCACAAAGCCGCTGTCGGTGCTGGCGGTGAGGCACCATACCTCGGCGCTACCGATGTTACCGCTTCCTGGAGGGAGTCCATGAGGCACCGTCCGCTCAGCCATGTCAGGCCATGAGACTCACCTCGTCATCTTGCTGTTATCGTAGATCTCGTAGAAAGTCCGCATGTACATGGTCCTCAAACCTTTGCGCCGATGAATAGAAGGCCGGTGTGGTGGTTTCCGTAGAGGCCCATTCGCTGTCAGGTATGCGTGGCCATGGGACCGGAGCGGACCAGTCGCCCAATGCTCATACCCTGGATCCCCTCGCACTTGCACTCGTGGTCGGAGCGTAGCCACGGCCAAATTAGCTGCTCGTCCTTCTTCAAACCACTGTCCACATTGAGCCATCAAGGTTCGCAGGTCCTTGAAACATGGATTTTCCGTCTTGGTCCTCATCTTCCTCATCGTCATCTCCTTCCCGTTTGCTTGGGTAACCCTCCAGATGTCGTATATCTGCAGTTTTTGAAAATCCGAACTGGGCCAAACATGAGCGTATAGCATAGAAGTTGCCGTAGGGGAGTTGCCCCTGTCCCCCGGCAGAGGAAGACAGGACTTCTGACATGGGAGCCAAGAGCTCTTCCGGTGTGCACCGATCCAGTAGTTGGGCCAGTACTTGGGCCGTTTGCTCTGCAGAAAACCCTACCAACCTCGCCATGTGTTCAAGAGCGTGGTCCACCCAGTGCTCCACCGAAATCTCGTCCTCCACATTCACCGCAGCTTCTCCTTCGCAACCTTATGCACCCTGCTGTTTTGACACCCTCGAAGTTTGTCTCAGAGCAAGCGCTGCCTGTCTACCCGTTCCCTGTCCGAGTTATTAAGCGAAACCCTCGCAGCGCCCGAGTGAACCATCCTTCGTCCCTAGCTGGTTGACTGCCGGCAACGTTCCTCTGCACGTCTTGCCCCTCTTGCGTGTCCTACTCTCGTCGTGCTTGTGGTCCTGGATCGAGACAGGCGCGTTTATCTTCCTCTTCCCTGTACCTTTGTGACTCTAGAGACACCAGACCGTAGCCCAGCTCGATCAGCTCAGCCTCCAACCTGGCATTCTGGCGAGCCATCGGGGCATGTCTTGCAGCCAGTTATTCCGGAGCCAAGTCACCAGCTGTTCGGCATGGGCCTGTATTTCCAACCTCGTCGGCGCTCCGACAGCTCTGGTGAGAGGGTCTTCCCGAAGAGTGAGCGGACGCCATCCACCTCCGCCTACATTCGCCGACAAACCGGTCAGCAGCTCCCAATTCTTCCCCGTCAGCTCCTCTGTGATGTAGGAGCTCTATTCTCTCAAGCTCTCCCCTCTTCTCTCGTTTCGAAGGTGAAGAGACATGCCACGGAAGTGCTCCCATGCTTCATCGGGCTTCTTGGCAAAACCTTAGCAGCCAAACCGTAAGCTGCAACTGGACCGAGTGCGGCATTGTCATGCTGACTGCACCCGGCGGGACACAACATAGCACAACGCTGTTCACTACCCTCTGCATGACCCTCGCCCTCTGCTTCATGGACCCCTCGCGCGCTGAAGATGTGATTGAGATCTGCCCTGAAAGCCAACTGGGGACACCATTTCATAGATAGGCATCTCTACCCGAAGTGCAAGGCCCATAAACCCCTGAGGATAGTGGCTTGAACCCTTGTGTCATTGATCAGAATACATCGGTCTCCTGTAACTGTAGGATTGGCGGATTCATAGGGGGTTCAGCCTAAGTTCATACCTCGCAAGTTCCACAGCCCGCTGACCTACCTTAGCTTGGACCACTGGAGGTTGAGCAGCTCCCGATAGCGCGATTTCGGCGACACATGCGAACCACATCTAATGCCCTGCCACATCGGCACCCGCAAAGACCCCAAGGAGTTTGAAGCAGACCGAATGTGTTTCGCAGTAGAGCCCTCAACAGTTCATCTTCGGTCCGGGTCCAGTCTGCTCTTTCAAGATATGCATCCCGGTCCAGGCTATCGAACGCTTTCTCCAAAAGGCGAATCCCCCATGCATGTCTGTCGGAGCACTATGTGCTCGTGGCCGGTGAGTTAGCCGGCAGGGCTCCGGGCAACGCACACAGACCACATGCTCCACCACCACTCCACAGCAGGAGCCGGCCTGAGGTTCACAGAGCCACCACCTCCACTCCTCCCTCGGCGCTATCCGATGTCGGGGTTGTTGGATTCTTCTGCACCCACACGGCTTCCTCTTCTTCCACTGCGCTGGCCGCTATCACCCGCCACTCTGCCACTCCTGTGGCCCGGTTGAGCCAGACCCTCGTTCAACAGGCGGGGGCAGAAGGCTGAAGGGTCCATACGAAAGCATCCATCTCCGAGCTTGCCGGCTGCTCTCCGGGCAACATGGCCTCGATACTGCCAGTTTCGCCTAGGCTACACCGTGCTCCACCAATCCATGCCCACGTTGCCGGGGGTCTGCCTTGCCGGACACAGTCTGCGGAGTCGGAAGTCCAACTAACTCGTCCTGTTCGCCTTAGGCCTGACATCCTTGGTAAGCTGCTCCCGCTACCGCTGATTGGAAGACCTGGAGGCTCTTTTTCAGAAAGCCTCTACTCCTCTTCTTCCTCGCTTTGGCTATCCCTGTGTCCATGACTGCGGCCGGCTTGGATGGTATAGTCAGCCGTACCCACTACGCCACTCGCCAAAATTTTTTCCTGCAGCAGAACTCAATCTTATTGGGCGTAAATCCTTCCGCGGGGCTGGCTGCTGTTTTATTGGGAAGCAATGTAATGATTGTCGTAAGCCAGGCTTGCAGGACTGGTGCTCCCACTCTGACAAACTCCATCCGCGCTAGCAGGGCTTGTTCTGACGTCACTTCAGACTTCATTTACGGTGCACACGTCACTGAAGACATCGGCTCCAAGCAATGCGGCCTGGCGAGGCGCGGGTCGAGGACCTGCCCCGTGATAGAATCTCCATCGCTCATCCTCGGAGCCGATCTGCCTATCTGCTTCAACTGATCTCATCATCACCGTGTAACCCGTCAAACATGCGTCGGTTCTGTAAACTTCATGATGCCACGGAGCTCGCATGTCCCCGTAGTCCAGAATTCTTTGAGCCCATCACTGGCTCCGGCCTCTTGTCCTGGACGACCCTGGCACGGGGAAGTGTCCGGCGAGTGAGCTCCACGTGTGCAACATGAGCAAGGTGGAACGCCCCACGGACAAAACGATCATGCGCGGAAAGACCGGCGCCTCCGAGCTGTCGATAAGAGCCTGCACCTCAACGGGGATGTAGCCGAGGCTCTCCTTCAACATGCATGGGTCAATCTTCGGTAGAGAAGAACTCCCCCAAATCCTTGGAAATTCTCAGCCGATAGAAGTAATCCTTCACGTCCTCCTTGGCCACAAGTAAGTAAGTGTGACTCGGGGTCGCATCCTAACGGACACGAGGTCAGGTTGTAAAGCTCACACCTCGGGAAGCAGTGTGTCCAGAGGAACTGGTGCAGCCGATCACGTGAAAGCGCAGTTCACTCCCTCATAACAGGACCCCTGAACTGGAGTATGGGGTCCCTGCCTTTTTAAGCAACAGCTGCCGTAGCGCTGCGTGTGGGGCCTCTGTACATGCAACCCCTTCACCCTCTGCAGAACTGAAGCCTGCGCCTGATTAACAGGAGAACTTGGCCAAAGCCGCTCATCAAAACCTGCCAGATGATTCAGGGCCCAAAGAGTGCAACACTGCCGATCTTCAAGTCGGCGACGTTTGAGAACACGTTGACGCGCTCTCCGCGAACCCAGTGATCCCAAACTGCCGGCAGAACCATCGAAACTGCAAGACACAGGAAGTGGGTAAAGGTCGCCACGTCTCGCAGCAGGTTCATGGAAAATCTTTGGAGCCCCTACAATTTCCTTAGCCATGCTCCCGGCACCCTCGGAAACATGACCGGCCCCCCCGCCGAGCCTGCGTGTGGCGTGACATCGTTCTTCAGAAGCGAGGCGAGTCTGCTTGAGCACCTCCGCCTTCGCCACTTGCCTCTTGGCCGCGTGCTGCGTCAAAGCAGGGTCTACCACGCTTCCATCGCCTTCTTCTCGGACTCCCAACGCATCCTCGGCGGCCTCGTAGCTCAGAGCCCGCCGCCTGCGATTGCGCGCCTCAGCTGCTTAATGCCGGGAGGTTCAGCTGGTCGTAAAAGGCCATATAGTCGAGGGCTCTGCAAAGGAACGCATGCTCTCAGATGGACCTGTCGGTAGCTCCACTTTTTCGGATCCAGCTCTCCTGGTGCTGCACAAAGTTCATGCCAAGTCGCCGTAGCTGCCCCAGGTCACGAAACATAGTGCAAGCAAGGCCCCTGCAAGGGGTAATCTTCATACTTTGCTTCATCGCAGTCTGAAACCACCTCGGCCAGTATGCGCCAGAGTTCTTTTCAGCAGCATCAAGCAGGATAGGCAAAAGCCCTCACATCACGGTCTTCACGATCCCTCTCCTGTCTGGACACCCGCGCATTTTGACTGACGCCAGGGGCCTCCGCAGCTGAACATCCTTGCTTGCACCAAGACCAAAGCCCCATCCTTTGAGAACATCTTGTATTCGAGATCCCGCCCGTCGCGCAAACGAAGCTGCCCACAGGTCCGTCGGAACCTGGTCGCCAGCGTCTCTCCTCCTCAGCGTTACCGGCTTTTGGCCGCACTGTCCGGTGGAGTTCCATGTGTGTCCTCGTGCTCACGCCAACCCTCTCGCACATGCTTTGAAACGAAGTCGTTGTTGATCACCTCCCTGAATCGATAGATCACCTTCCTGACCTGCTCGGGGTCATCAATAACCCCGCCACCCAGATTCTGTTCGTACACATCCAAGTCAGGAGTAATTCCCCAAAACATGTCTGCGCCTACGCCCTCCAGCAACACTATTCTCTCATGCCACACAGAGTCATCTGAATACCATACATGTACGAAGTCACCAAGACTAGGACTCGGAAACTGCACAAACGAGGTGGCTCTAGCCCTTTACTCAAAAGGACCGTCAAAGCTACCAGCGCCTTTTCCCACATGAGCAGAAAGGAGCTATGAGTGATCATTGACAGACAGATGAAGCATGCAGCAATCAGGCACTTTAGTGCATACATACCCGCCCGCAGCCCCCGTCCACTTGAGCTGAGTGTTAAAGTCGGCCAAGATCACACTCGGGAGAGAAGTCGGAGGCCTGAGCTTGAGGATCTGGTAGGCTTCATCTGCAATAACCGCATCCGACACGCCGGTGCTTAGCCTCGACGAGCACACCCAGAATTCCATTTGGGTCTGCACCTGGTGAGTCGAAGCCACACACCGAAGTCATGCCCCTCCTGGGCGGGAAACATGATGCCATTTCCCCTCCACTGGTCTTCCCCTGTGCACTGGACCAGGGTGGCTTTCCAGGCTTGCGTCACATCTTGCACCGCTCTGGAGCTCTCTATACACACGACGGGACTGGTTCTGACATGACCTGTCTCGCACTTTCTGGCAAGCCCCGTCTTGTGCTCCAGCCTCACAGCATCCTGCTCGAATTCCACGTGCCCGTCCTGATCATGTCACTCCGCAATCAGGGCCTCCCACCTCTCCGCCAAGGCCTCGCCGGAAGCAGCCAACGTCAACGCTATCTGCTGGATGTCAATGCACGTTCGAGTTCCGGAAGCTCTGCCTTTCCCGATGTCAACATCGCGGGGCGGGGCCCGGGTGGCACTGGCCACCATCTTGCGTCTCATCCAGACCGACCCCCCATTCCACATGCATGGCATGCTTCTCCGGAAGGTTTACCTTCAAAATCAGTCTCTTGCACTTCCACGCATGGCCCGATCGCAGCCACTGCATGTTTGTGTTGCTCAGGGCCGCCCACACAGTCATCGCATGCCCTCGCCGAGGCCCTGTGGTGAACACATCCAGGAACTTCTCCAACACTCCGATGCGCTCCAAGAGGTCCTTAAGCTCTGGGAGCAAGTCGGATCTGTGCGCGTCAGCATCCCACCCGCCCAAAATCACCAGGTTCTTTTGGTGGGCCTCCACGTTGGACGAGCCCTGTTGCGTGGTGCTCTTTTCGTGCTTCTGGGACTCCAGGGCAAGGACCCTGGCCTCGAGCTTCTCGCTTTGATCTTCAAGTTGATATAAATGAAATCGGAATGGCGGGTGACCTCCCTCAATTCCCCGGAACTCATGCGTGCATGGTGGAATTCTGAAACTGGGCCACTGCCCCACGGATCTGCTTGGCTTGGTTCTTGGCAAGCTTCTCGCGGTGTAGCTGGAGCAGGGTACCGCGCTTCCAGGATCCCGCCCTCCGCGGCTCGCGTGAACACCTCCTGTACGAGCGACCTTGGGGCTTTTTTGGTCGCCTCCATCACTATCCGATCCCGGCACCGGGATATCCATCATGATCACAGCACACCGAGTTGACACCAGGAGCCGGATGGAGGCTTGAGCTTGAGCGCCAACATGAGCTAAAATGGCTTGAGCCATAACAAGGATGGTTTCGGGCTTAGGGCTTTTCGGCCTGTGCTTGAAGCTTGTACTCCGCGGGCCTGGAGTGGCCGCGACAATGATCCCAGAATGCTGCTCACGGGAACCTCCGTTCCACCATGAACCTTGGCAATCTGGAGGATAGGAGTGGTTGTGGAATTCACTTGAGGTTTGGAGGATGGACAACTTCCCGCAAGCACAGCCCGAAGACGAAAAAAGAATAGAGACCCGGACAGTGCGCAAACTTCAATTCTAGGCATGGCTTCGTCTTGAGGGGGGAGCTGGGTTCCCTGAAGCCGTGAACCTTTGGTGCGTGACTTGCCCGAAAGAAGCACAAGCCTGCCGACTATCTCTCAGTAGATATGACTGCGCACGCGTTGTTCGAGCAGAGGTGGTCGGAGCTTGTAGTACAAACTGTGGAGTGTTGGTTGTTCTCCTGATCCTGTCTTCTCAAAGCACGTCGAGGTGCCCCGCAACAACGGTGCCATTTGAGGTTAAGCTATCGGACCTCTTCAACTAACAAGCAACATCGCAGGTGTGTTTGGGGACTGAAGCTGCAGCAAGAAGCCAACGAGTCCAATATCACAGCTCTTCTCCCCACGCGGACGTGCTTCGCGGTAATCCCATGGTCCGTGTCGATGGAGTGGGGCGAGAGCATTGCACCGCTGAAGCAGCAGCCGTCTCCAATCTGAAGCAGCCATGGTTCAAAGAACGGGCAGTGCTCCTCGAAGCACCTGGGGAGGCTGCAAGCGTGGCGTTTTTGGTGCCCCTCAGAGGCACAGCTGGATGCTGCCGGGTCACACACCGCTGCCAATCTCGGCCCCGAGCAGGCGCAGAAAAGCAGCGATCCAAAACGTACCCTTGAGGAAGATCAGCCAAAACCTCCGTGCCCAGAACTGCAATCGCATTGCTGAGGCTAGGGTTCATAGAGAAACGTCGGCATTCTCGAAGTGCAGCTATGGTTAATGAGCCCGGCAAGCCCAGCATTCAGGGTTTCAAGGACAAGCTGGGTTTAGTAAGGGTTTGGCAAATTCACGAGCATGTGAGCTGAAGCGTAGTTTCTCTATATAGTGTATACCCGCTATTGCTGTGATGGTAGTTCCTCTTGGGAGTATGTTTGTTTTTTCAGGGAATATTTTCTTGTATTGGCGACACAAGCCACGAAAGCTGCATCTTCGCGGTGCTGGGCGCTTGGCTTTGACAGGTTTGCTGCAGGGGTAACACAACCCCACGGTTGGTTCATTCTGGGGTAACCCCATAGCCCCCCACCCTGTTCGCCTCCGTACACACCCTCTTAAACTTTTGTGGCGCTGTGGTTACGCTCTCGCAGCCCGACCGCAGATTTGGAGGGAGCATTGCAGGCACAACATACACACACACACACACACACACGTTTTGAATCTGACGAAGCCTGGAAATTCTTAACTAGGGGGGAGTACGTGGTTGTCCGACAGATCCACGTTATCCACATCTCTATTCGGATTTATCCGCATAGGGCAGAGACATGCATGAAGATGCTGGGGGACTCATTCGTCCCCAACTGCTCGGACTTTGTCTCGTCAGCCCGAATAGCAAGCCACCACTCTATTTTCGCACCCGATTCCCTTGCTTCTTCTAAATTCTAACCCTAAGATCTAAGTAAGCCTTGAAAGGCTGAAAGACCTAATAAGGAGATGCGGCCAGATCCGCTGTCAGCGAGAGTTTAGGTTTCACGAGCTCAGGATGGAGCGTGCCATGCAAAAGCCCAGCTCTCCGGCCTTGAGGAGGCCAGCAACTCCACCTGAAGCACCCCTGGGCTTCGGGGAGCGTCGCTTGAGGGCTCTGGGTCTAGGGCAACTGACCATGCCACAACACAGCTTGGCAACCCCACCCCTTCCACCCAGATTCTTCTTTTTTTGGGTTCGGGGTTTCAGTCTGCAAAACCCTGCCTGGGGTGTCTACCCAAAGGCTGTGGGTAGCAAACATATAGGCTTGCAAGGCGCTGGCCATCAGATTGTTACGTCCTAAGATGGCCCGAGCCTGGACTAGTCCAATTGGTATGCCAGAAGCATCCCAGGTAGCAAGTGGCTCACGGTTGGGGGAGATACTGCGTAGCTGGTTTCGCTCATGGTGCAGCTAGGCAATAAATCGGGGCCGTCTTCCAGGGAGGCTTTGTCCTTCCTGGTCTGCAGATTCGAGATCGGTTCAGGGCTCAGCCCTGTCCGAGAGGCTCTCGCCAGTTTAAGTAAGCCTTTAGAGTTTGGGGCAGTCAGGGTTTAGGATTTTGGGTGCATATAGACTCGGCTGTTCAGGGTTTTGGGTGTTGGATGTAGAGGTTGGCCCTGTCACCCGACACCCGAAACCAACGAAATCTCACCATGGTTGCCAGCTGAGTGGCAACAATAATACTGGAGGCTGTACCGTTTCGCTTCTATCTCTGGCCATTCCTCTGAACATCTCCGCAGGAGAAGCACAACCGTCCAATAAAGGAGAAGGGTTATGACGATCATGGCCATGAACGCCACCACTGCCACAGCACAGGAGCCGGCCACAAACAAGCCAAGGGCATGAAAGCTGATCACGTCGGAGTTCAGCACGGATCTCAACACGAGCAATTTCATCCAAGTGCAGACCACAGGCACCACGAGCATGGGAAGAATGCCAATTGCTCTCACACATGAGCCAAGACAAACCTCAACTGCAGAAAAGAAATGGGGCTGGACTCTGGCAATGCAGGCAGAAATGGGTTTAGGGTTTGGGGCTTAGAAACGTGACTTTCTGTTATGCACCCCTGTAGTTCACGATTTGCGAATTGAGGCACCGTGTGCAAGACCCAGTGAAGCCAGGTCGGTCGCAAGCCTTCAGCTCTTGAGCTTCGTGAAAAAAGCCCTGCAGGGTTTCCCATATACCTGAGTGTGGGCCCATGCCAAAGCCCGACCTTTCTCTGCATGGAAATCTCGCAGTCTCAAAAAGTTCCCAGCTGCACGGAGTCTGCTTCAAGCGCAGACTGCGGGGGTACGTAGCTTTGGGAGCTCACCACCTCGGATGTAGGCTTCAGGGCGCCTAATAAAGCACGAACTCTCAGGCAATCAGCATACTGCTAACGGCTTTTGGGGGATGGGAACATGTAACACCAGGCTCCCCTCGGACAGAAGTATACAGGTGACGGAACTGAGGAAGTCACTCATTCGCATCCTTTGTTTGGTGCGATTGGGGACAGTTGCGAAAGTTTTGTCGGACCGTGAGTGGTGCAGACTCTTCTTGCGCTAAGCAACTGCCCCAGACCCAAATGTGCATCCGAAGTCCACGAAGCTGCTGGCTCCAAAATAGCCTTGATTCAATGGTCGGACTGGAGGCAACACCCTAATAAACACTCCATCCTAAGCTGGTCCTAAATTGGACCCCCTTGCAATGGCCTGGGCGACTTCATGGTTGCCGATCTAATCGTCACCTGTTTTGTTTCTGCCTGTGAGCCACATCTCTATGTAATCCCAATATCTCCTTCAAGCTGGAACCTCCTCGGCAACTCATACAAAACCGGCTTCGTAGGCATTCAATGTTGCAGCCATTCGCTGAGCGGCTGTTCCCAAGATCGGTCTTGTAGAAGTGCCTGTCGTTCAAAGCACAGGAGGCTGAGTCGGCTCCTTCAGATGTAAGTTCTACGAAGCACTTGAGTATACACTTACAGGTTTGTTGGCTACGCTTGCTCCGGCTGTGGACTGCAGGATTCCCTTGCGGCGTAGAGCTCGGCGCGCTGCTCTCTATACAAGAGGCACCAACATCCCAAGAATGACTCCACATGTCCCAGGCAGCAACGATGAAGAGGTGTGTGAGGGCAGGGATATGAATAGTCAAGGTGCAACTCGGTAAATCCCACGAATCAAACACCCGAAGACTCGAACGACCGCGCTTCAGAGCTGCAACAGCTGCAACAGTGCGGCGTATGCAGTGGCCTGTCAGGTCCTTCGAAGGCAAAGTCTGCACATCCTCCATAGCCCAGTGCTTCGGGGCTCAGCCGGGCATCTGCTGCAACCCATCCGCCACCGGAAACTCCCCAAACCCCCCTCCAAGAGTCCTCCAATGAAGCATTTCGGGCCAACGGTCAAGAGGTCGCCGCCTCTTGCTTGGGGTGTTATTGAGTTCTGTGGAGGCAGTTGATGAGCAGCAACATGCGCCACCACAAACCAAATCCTACTGCATCAAACCCCCGAGCCCTCAACCGGCCCGAAACTCTACGCACTCATCGCCAACTTCAACCGAACCTGTGTGTGGTAGCCTGATTATGATTCTCTGACCAGGACTTGTGTTGCTCGCCCTGACCGACGCATGTCCGACCGAACCCTGAACCCCAAGCCCTAAACTCCAGGTTCATGCCGAGGAGGACAACTTCAGGTTTAGGGTATGGGTGTAGGCGCCCTCAACCACCCCTCCGAGGATGAAGTGGCCCATCCGCTGACCTTCGCGGGCTGCACGCCGAGGTGCATTTCAATGCACGGAGGGAAGCGTCCAGCCGCACCACGGCGTTAGGGGACACCGCAGCGCCCACGGCCAGCAAGCCGAAATAGTGCAAACACCTCGTACAGACTTTTGCGAGGCTCGGTTTGGGGAAAGTTTTGGGGTTTTGGATCGAGGGATAGTCTAAAGTCGGAAGCATGTCATGAAACCAGGCGATGAAGATCAAAGCGACTGCAAGTGCAGGTGTGGAGTTTCTGGCGCCGATTCAACTGAACTCGCGTGTGCCCGACCCGACGGGCCTGGAACACTAATGTTCAGCTAAATCTAGAACTCGCGATCTCAGGCTGGCCGGCTAATTTTTTAGATGTTGGGCGGAGTCCAGCAGCAGAAAGCGGTAGCTTCACCTTCGCTAACCCCTTAGCCAACAACCTGGACAGCAACACGACTTGACTCAAGCACCTCACTCCGATGAGCCACTCCATTTTGCAAAGCCGCTCTGGCAATGAGCTGATCCATATGGGCCAGGAGCTGGACAGAATGAAATTGACCAGGCGATACCCTGAGGCTGATACATGGGAACGCCATTCAAAGTTTTTTCCGGAAAGCTGCACCAAGCTCGCCAGGCGGCAAGCATGCTGGCTGGCTGGCATCTGCCCCGGAGACACTTTGCCGACCTGCCAGGTTGGAAGGTTCGGAGTTTCCCCCGTAGAATCCACTGAACGTGTTGACGAGCTGGATTGCGAGGAAAAGAATCCGCTCGAGGCCCGAAACCCTCAACCTCAATGCCAAAACAGCGAATCCCGCAGACCAGCAGCAACTTCAGCAGCACGAAAGCCAACAGGGCTGCTGCCCCCGCCAGCCAGAAGGCGGCTGGCGCCAATGCCTTGGTATGACTGTTAACTATGAGGGTTTCCGCGCGCGCAAAAACTATGATGTTTCGCGTTCTGGGATCATATTGGCGTTAAAGCTTTTTGGTTACTGGCGGAGCACCTTATGTCGCGTCGATCGGCAAGGTGACGTCCGGAAACCCGCAGCGGCGGGACAAGTGCCATGCACTGCTTTTAAACGCCGGGAAAGGCCCATACCACAACCAAGATACCAGGAGAGTCAGCAAGCTCCCCGCAGCAGTTCGAGGACCTCGCAGGAAGGCATCGGGGAGTCCAGGGAATGTCTGAATCTCCTCTTTTTATCTTTTTTGGGCTCCAGAAACAAGGGTCTTGGGATGTAGAGTGTAGGGTTGGCTCGAAAATCAGGACCCCGGAGCAGACTTGGATCCAAGAGGCCAACGAAGGACCACATGAATCTGGCAGAAAAGAACAGCAGGTAGAGCAACGCTGCGAAAACGTAGGCGTGGAAAACGCAAGCATACCGGAACTTCAGCCAGTCGATGTCTGCCACGGGCTCAGCGGAGCGAGACTCACCCCTTGGCCAAACTGAAAACTCAAAAGCCCTGGCTTCAATTGTCTGCAACTCGCAACTTGCAACATCAGAATCCTCGAAGTGCAGGAAGGATGAGCGAGCTGTGGGCAAGCCGTGTGCATCCCAGGCTCTTTCGGGCAGGATTCCCTACTACGCCCTGACTCCCCGTTGGCACGCAAGCGCCGGCGGCGAGCGACGTCATCCGCTGCAAGGAAGAGCCATCCTTAAACCCCAAATTTTGCATCGGCTTCTCCGAACATCCCTTTCAGAAGTCTCGCTTCAGAAACTCATGCCAGCACATGGCATGGCATCGACGAAACCGTGCACAACCAAAAACAAGCTCGAGACTCTGAACTCTAAGCCCTAGCGGCCCTAGCCTCGGCTGCAGCGAAGAAGCACCGATGACCACGCCAGGTTCAATGGCGCAACGCTCTGGTACGAAGACAGCATGCCCGACCTAAACGCGTCTCAGGGCTTTAGGATGGGTTTAGGGTTTATTGGCGCTTGTTGCCACAGCTTGACGAGGCCGAGCCTGAACTTTGTCGATCAGGAGCTCATTGTCCAGGATCATGTGGCACTGCACTCTGCCATCCAGGCTGCAGCCGTCACCCACCTTCAGCAAGATTGGGGTATAGGTTTCAGGGCGATAGCCCAGTCCCTTAGCAATCTTTAGCCCAACTTTCATGCTGAACAACTCCATGCTGTCGCCTCCACGCACAGCCCCAAAAACAAGCCTTGCACAGAAAGTGCGCAACCCTCACAGGAAAGGATCCACCTGCAGCAACTGCAAAGCGGCCGAGGCCTGTACATGGATCTTGGCGCCTGCGCTGGACGAACAGTGACAAAATCAAGTCCACAATGCAATGATGAGTCTTCGTGTGTTAGTGCACATTGATTGACTCACATTGGTGTAAATCTAAGGTCCTTTCTCGACTTTACGGCCGCTTGCCAGTCAGGTTTAGACTTGCTTCCCATGTCTTGTCCTAGCTTCTTGCCGAGCCATCAGTGTAAAGGCTGAACGACCTTCCCAACGTCTCGTTTTGGACCCTCAAAACTCTAAAGATCTCCAAACCCTAAACCTTTCGGTCCTGTGCCAACGCTAGCACCCAGTATCCTGAGGAGGCCGTTGTGAATGGGAGTGCCGCCGTAGGGACCCACCAGACGTTGCAGAAAGCCCAAGGATGCATCCAGCAGCCAAAGGCGAAGATGCGTCCACCTCGGCACCAGTCTCCAAGGCTCACGGTGCATGGATTCGGGCTCTAGGGTATCCTCCCGCTCTTTCGCCCCCTCCACCCGTGGAGCGTGTAGCGCCCCGGCAGTAGGCCGTGCGGGAAGAGGACGACGCGAAGAAGCAGAACCTCCCAGCAAACATCAGCTCCGACACTTGACCATCCTTAAAGTTTACGGAAGGAGTCCATACCACGGCAAACCTGCATCACTGCTACACTTGGAAGCCTCCGCAGCCCAAGCCGACAACTCAGCCATCCCACGATTTTAACGAAGAAAACACGCACAACCCCAAACCCTAAATCTCCACCTCCAGGAACATGGCGCCGACCAGCAGAGCTAGTAGAGGCGGCGCTGCCAAAAAGACCTGGAAGTGGGCTCGTGTAGGTGCCCTCGGCAGAAGAATCGGTGAAGGGAACGATTCAATCATGGAAAACATGACGGCTGATTCAGAAACCAGACCGACTGATTCGGAAGCCACACGATGATTCGGAAACCAGAACGGTTGCTTCGGTAACCGGAACGGCTGATTCTGAAAGCAGCATCATTCGGAAACTAGGAGCCATGATTGCTAGGAGCATTGCGAGCCTAAGGGCCTGGAAGGGCTAAAGTCTCAACTTTCCCCATGAACGTCTTCGAGCATGGACGTCATCATCGTTGGGCCATGGATGCTCTCTCTGAGAATGCCTTCCACCACGGACCCATCATGCTTGGGCGATGTGCTCTCTTCTCAGAACGCATTCGACGATGGACGTTTGCATGGTTGGGCCATGGTCTCTTCTCAGAGCACATTCGAGCATGGACGTTATCATGGTTGGCCCATGGATGCTCTCTTTGAAAGCGCATTCGGGCATGGACGTTCTCATGGTTGTCCCATGGCTGCTCTCTCTGAGAACGCATTCGAGCATGGACGTTATCATGGTTAGGCCAGGCCATGGATGCTATCTTTGAGAACACCTTTGACCATGGACGCATCATGGTTGGGCCACTCACAGCACATTCGACCATGTGCGTCGCCATGCTTGGGCGAAGGGCTCTCTTCTCAGCGCGCATAAGACCTTAGAAGTTATAATGCCATGATTGGGCCATGAATGCTCTGTTCTCAGAGCGCATTCGACCATGGACGTTATCATGGTTTGGCCATGGATTCTATTGTCACAACGCATTAACTAGACCATGGACGTTATCAGTGTTGGGCCATGCATGCTCTACTCTTCTCACCACCCCAGCCTTGTGCGTCGGGTTCCGATGCGTGCTGTTTTCTTATGCATACGCGCTGGTTTCTGATTCGCGGTGGTTTCCGTCGCGCAGTTTCTGATTCAAGGCCTAGTTTCTGATTTTGCAATGGATCCTATGAAGGATGCCCTTTACTGCAGCTTTGGCTCGGGGTCCATGGGGCCTAGGAGATCTTGAAACTGACGTGGGCATCAAGGGTTTTGGGTTCAGAGTTTTTGACACCATGAAAGATGGGAAATGATAGGAACAAAGCCGGATCTTACAAAACTCTGGATGAGACATGATGGAACCAATGTTCGCAGAACGCTCTGGAGCAAAGTTGCGGCTGTCTTGCATCGGTCTAGGTCAAGGTACCCCTCACCACCGGGCAAAGCTTCAAAGTTACGGCAGGTCCCGGTGTTCTCTGAACTTTGCTCAAGCGGCCGAGCCGTGGCCTGCTGCTACATGGAGCGCATCCACAGCCTGTACCTGAGGCTTTGCCAAACCATTCAGGGTCATCGCCAGGTGCATTTTGCGCCAGAGCGAAATCAATATTATGGGATCCTCAAGGGAAGGTTTTAAGCGGGGAGGGCACTATGACATTGGGTTATATACTCCAATTGAACCCCCCGGTCTTAAGGATCCCATAACCATATAGGTAGACCCTATACACCCTTAACCCTTACCAAAACGCTGTCCTTAAACCCTGAAGCCAAACAGTGAACCCTAACCGGCCACCCGCATCGACATCCCATCTTTGGTCAGGAACCAAGAAGAACATCGGCGTTGCGAGCACCAGCACGGGCATGAGGAGGCCCAACGTCTGAAAAGATGTCACCAGCCATGCAGGCACTGGATCCTTGTCAGCTTTGTGTCAACGCCCCCCGAAACTCTAAACCGCTCAATTGGGATCCTAGGATGTCGACTTTCTTCGTCCCACTTCCTGGATTCTAACGACAGCGGGCATCTCGCCCAAACACCTGCCACTACCGCCAAATTGGGAGCCTGCGCCGAGAACGACCGCCCAAAAATTGAACGCCAACCATCCCACCACCATGAGTTTCGTTGGCTTGAGCACCTACATTCAGAAGTCAGAATCCGCGCGGTGGAAGGCTGCAGCATGACCAGTATTAGACCCTGGGGAAGAACACCAGAGTAGAGCATTGCCAGAACACCACCATTGATAAACATCGGGCTTAGCGTGTAGGCTGAATATCGTAGAGTTTCAGCGCTCACGCTCGGACAATGCGGGCGGGTCATGATGGTTTCACCCTGTCGACTCAAGATTGTAGAGTTTAAGGTTCAGGGCATGCCTGGAAAGCACGTTCGGTGAGCACGCGTTAGTTTGCAGATGTACCCACCCTTCGTGCTGCGCAGTTCGTTGATTGCACTTGGCGACGTCCTCGGCCTAGAGATTTCCAGAGCACCATTCCTGGACGTAGTGTTTTTTTTTGTGTTCTGTGTTTTACATTGCTTCCTGCCGCTTGATCTTGTCTATGGGATGTGGACGTCCCTCTCCGCACTGCCCAAGACTTCATACAGAAGGGCAGAAAGCCGAGGTACAGAGCCTGGGTCCAGACACGAAGGGGCACTCTCGACGGCACCCTACCAGTAGCAACAAACCTTGACTTTACGATGAAGCGGCGTGCCACAACTCAAAGCGACGACATGCGACGACGACGGGCCTTGAGTCTTTTTAGGGCGCTGACCCACCATCTAAGTGGCGCACGCCGGGGTCAGGGGGCTTAGCCACCTTGTAAATGGAACCGTCAATAATCGTCACGCCCTTGCAGCAAAGCCTCGTTGGTGGCTGGAAGCCCGGCCGCATAGGTGCGTCTGTCCGGAGCCCAAAGCGACCTGTCGGCCTGGAGCAAAGCAAGGGTTAGGGTTGGTGAGTTAAGGGTCTAGGGTTTCGGCGCTCACATTCGGACATGCCAGGCGAAGCTCTTCCGTAGTCGGTTGGATGTGAAACCCGTGCTGGCGTTCAGTCGACAGTACATCTTCGGACAAAGAAAGTGACAGAATGTCCACATCGGCAGAAATTCAACTATCCTCCAGCAGTAACTATCTATGAGGAATTCAATAGACAGGTTTCAAGTAACAATAACCAAGCCACTAAGGCTAGGGGTGTGCTGCGCGGTGGCTGCAAGGGAAAGACTGGGCTCCTAAATGAAGCCTGTTGAAACAAGCCGCCGACTCGGGGTGTAGGATATTCGAAGCATAATAGCCGAACTGCATGCTATGAGTATAGGGCGGGGAATTGAATGACTATTGACTGGCTGTTAACTTGGTATTGTTTACACTCGCAGCGGACAGCCAAAATAAACCTTGTAAGCCGCAGCAGCAGCAACACCACCAACACCAACACCAACACCAACACCAACACCAACACCAACACCAACACCCACAGCCACAGCCACAGCCACAGCCACAGCCACAGCCACAGCCACAGCCACAGCCACAGCACAACCACCAACAACAACAACAGGTAGGATGGGATCATCGTTCGTGCATTGTTGCTTGAATTCTTATCTGCCATAGGAACTGAAGCCTGATTCAGCTTCGTTCAAGGCTGCAGACTGGGGTTCTTGGCTTAGCCCCGAGCCACGGCAATCAGCAATTGTCATACACAACGTTCAGAAAACAATACAACTATGTACAGTGAGGACTCGGGCTTATAGATGATGTCACAAGCGATGAGCAGGCACGCAGGGGTGATCAGCCCTTGCTCTGCATCAGATTCCGTAGCTTTGTCAGGCACGGTCTGGAATGTGATGCTGTGCCCCCTTGCTGAAACATCCTGCGCTGCACTGAAAAGAGCTTGTACAAGGTCAAGGCAATGTCCGCTAAGAACCTTTGCTCAGCTGTCAGGGTGCACCAACAACAAAGACCCCACGAAGTGGGGCCAGCATCCCTGCTTTGTTTTTAGCTGCAGGTCCCGAGCTTGTGAATTGAAGAAATGCATTGGTGTTCAGCGAGCGTCGTGACCAAAGACAAGTACGGAACACGTGTACCGTGCTGTAGAATTCTGAATATGCCAGGCGATCTCCGAAATCTGGTCTGTTGCCACGAGGCATACGTGGTCATCCGTTTCAGTCTCTCAATGTTGTCGTCGCTCCAACACACGAGTTGAAGCGTGTAAATTTGTGAACCATTGCTGCATCACGCTTCATCTTATTGTGTTCACTCCGAACACATGTGCTGAGAGCCTGATGCACGGTATGACAAACATGTAGAACCTGGCAAAAGAATAAGGATGTAAACAATGTATTCTTTGATGTTTTTTGCCGGTGATAAAGTGGACTCGATACGTGAAGATCAAGCGGGCCTGATTTATCGCGTCCCGAGATGACGATGGAAGATGTACTCGTAACGGGCATTGCAATGTAACACGACCCGGTGGAATCAACACATCCATGCGAAAGATTCGAGATGTCCATGTCAATCCTGCATCCGACGCAGTGCGTTTGGTCATGGCATCACGAACAATGATCCGACACTACCACACGAAACTTAGAAAACATGTCATGGGAATTCATGTAACGCGCTGAAGTCGAAGCCAATAATGCCCATACCGAGGTCCGAGCCACAAACATAGCAAACATACATGCAGCTCAAACTCAACCGTGATTCGCTTCCCAATTGGGTGCTCGACACCGTGCCTGAATCGGTCGAGACTTACCATCACAAGACCGATGATCTTGAATGTGGAATCGCCGGTGGCATGAGGTCGCAAGAAATCGTATAGCAACCGCAGAATTTGCCGGCTATCGAGCCTTCTGCTGATCGTATATATTCGCTCGGTCTCGGCCTGGATCTTGTTCTTCGGAGCGATAGACTTAACGCGCTCGCGGCATGCAGCGTTGCATTCATTCTCGAGCATGCAGTATTTGCATTCCTCGGTCAAGTCTTCATACCGAGTACCGTCTTGGATCTCGACCCAGGCGAGCGCATACTGCTCTTACACAGGATCATATGCGAATGCGTTTGCAACGCGCTCCTTCATTTCAATCCATCTTCGGAGCCGTGCTTGCTCGGGCTCGGGCTCAAGCCGAAACGACTTGCATTTCGCCTTCTTAGCTTCACCGAGTGATCCATCGCCACAGGGCTGCCCGCCACCTTGATCGTTGGGTGGCACACTCAAGGCATATACGCTGCAAATGCGCATCGGATCACGGCAGCACTCCTTGCAGCAAGCAAACTCGCAAACGACACAGCTGCGTCGATGGTGCAGCTGCCCAAGCATCGTTCGCATTGGAATGTGTCAGGCCTTCCACTGGGTCGAGTTGTCGGGGGGAGGAGGAGGAGGAGGGCCATCGCCTCGGTGGCCACCGCCAGACCCACTAGGCGGAGCCCCACCATCGGGTGGGCAGAAGCGGATGCGCGACATCCGTCAACGGGGACATCAGATGATGCTCTCGGTGCAGGCCTCTTCCTCCTGTTTGTCAAGGCAACAGAGATCCGAGCACTCGGCGCGACGGGGAACGTAACTGGAAAAGAGCCTGTCCCTGGCCAAAGCCAGTGCGGCCTAGCGTTGCATCGTACCATCTCGAAGGCCCGACCCCAGTTTGGACAGTTCGTGAGTCGTATGAGACCTGACATGGGGAATGTCGGAGCAGGCCAGGCTCGGACAGCTCCACGAGCGAATTGTGCTTTCGACCCCGAACCACGCTCGGGATGCATGCCTCAGGAATCGTAGGACGGATGCTAGCCGGGCAGTGGCATGGGCGCTCGACACGCACGCAAATGTTCTGTCTACGGATGTAGCCGATGGACCATGGGCGACTAGAGTGTTCGGTTCAGCTGATCGACCCGAGAAATTGGTGGACTTGGTGGACCCCTGGCCCTGTGGATGATGAGGAAGTCGATCCGGATCGATCCTCTCTGGTGGACGATCGTCAACGAACAATCGCGCTCTTCGATAGGCATCGTCGATTGTCTGGCTACTCGCCTGCGATTGGGCAGTCGATGCCTTCTCAACAGGTGTCGCATCCTGCCTTGGGGCATTAGCGGGTTCTGGTGGGTCATCTGCCAGAGGTACCTCCGGCAAAAGGTCCATCCAGGAGTTTCGCAACCTCTGCAGGACGATATCGAACCTGGCAATCCAAGTGACGAAGTCTTGGTTGCCTTTCCATGCCTTGAAGAGACCCAGGAATCTCCACAGGACATACTGCTCACCCTCCACAAAGAAAGGTCGCATCTTCTTGTTGAAGTATTCCACTCCATCAATGGCGGTAAGCTTTTCTCGGTCCAGTGCTTCTTTTTGCACCGCTGCAAGACCGGAGAGTCTCCTCTTGAGAGACAGTTCTCTCTTCTTTTCATCCGTCATGTCGCACCAGTCATCAATAAGCTTTTCCTACAAGCCACGAAGTGGTGCCATCATAAGCGGGTGCTATTTTCGATGTAATGCCGAGACGGCTGAGCATTTTCTCGCTCGAGATGCCATATGCATGGCTTGCGGCATAAGACGTTGGACTTTGAGAGGTCTCGTCCTCGGAGTATCCTCCGGAGGAGTCAGCGTCGCCTTCATCAGTGGAGTGTGACGACATCCCGCAACCTCGGCACACGTCGACGTCTACGGAAGCGATTGGCCGGAGCCAACAGTTGCGGCGGTGTTAGGCGAGAGTTTGAGCCCAACACGGGCTCCGCTACCAGAAAACTGCCCCCCAAATAAGTTAGGTATGGGCTCCCGTGACTTCCCAGCCCCAGCCCTCGTGCCTCAAGCGTTTTATCCCTGACCCCCACCCTACATTTTCCAACATATTTTTCAAAATCCTCAATTTTTGACATCCTCGTTTTCCCCGATTTCCCTTAAAAAAGCATCTACCATATACCATAAAATCCCTAATTCCTGACCTCCCCGCCTCAACCGATTTCCCTATATAATCCTCCTAAAAGTCCTTGTTAAAATTCCTTGTAATAAATTCTGAATGAGAGTGATAGAATGTATCTTAACAAATATTATTGTGAAGATAAATTCTAAGAACATCCTATTTATTCAGCTTTCTGTATTTCTTCCAGTTCTCCTAAAATTACATTGTTGAGATGCGTTGCTGATTTTTCGTGCTGTGATTTTTTATACAGTTTAATGTCATAATTACATAATGGGCACTTGTAATTTATCTTCCTGTATTCTTTCTTCTGTGCTTGTATCTTTTCTTTATTGTTTTCATTGTATTGTTTTTTCCGTATAGCTATTTCGTCTTTGTGGCTTTCTCTATATGCTTTTTCGGCTCGTTTAAATGGTTCTGGTTTTTCTTGATATGCCTTCCTGTTTCTTTCGCGAATTTTCCTTCTACAATCGTCGCAACTTTTGAAGTTGTCAGAAAACTCCCACCATTCCCGTTGTTTCTTGCACACATTGCAATACCTATCGTTCATACTATATATTCTATATATGGTATTCACTCTTTAAGTATCTACCATATACTTAAAACTTTTAACAAGTTTTAGTCTTGTTTTTAATATTTAGATTGAACTGTTTTTCGATGAAATTTTCGGCTTCCTTCATTGTTGGCTTCTCCCAAGTCAGCCATCTGCTCCAAAAAGCGGGTGTTTTGTAATCTTTCCAGTTTTGATTACCCGAACCACAGTGCCTTGCAATATAATTTTCTTTACGCTTTTCATTCTTATGTCCGTCTGTGTAGTGTTCATATCCAACTGCCCCGAACGATATAGTTTTCTTGCCATTTATAACAGCGTCGTATTTCTTACCCTTTTTATTTGACTTAGTGATCAAAACTTCGGTCATATATACAAGTATTTAGAAAATATACTCAAAATAAAAGTAAATATTTCAATAAAGGGAATAAATTTATTGAAATATTTAGAGACTTGATGAATATTTTTTAACTTAAGAAGTATA